GATCGAAGATTTTAGATTTTTTGCTATTGGACCTCTAATTTTGATTTTAGATTTGTGTACATTGAAAAACATATGCCTTATACCTAATATAGACTGCTTTTTTGTGAAGTTTGTAGTTAATGATCAATTATTATTATTATTACTTACATTTTTCCAACAGGCAATGGGATGGTGTAATAAGACACCCTGAGTATCCATGGGATCAACCCAGTGATATGAGGATTAGATCTTCGAATTTTTTGTCAACTATTAGAGAACAAACCAACAAATGCTGTGGAGGCTGTACCGTATATTTGCATTCTGCTGGAGGCTGGAAGCAAATTCAACAAGATCTTAGTCACAGTTTCAAACCTGCAGCAGAAAGTGAACTGTATTTCAAAATTAAAAAACCTAAAATATTTCCTGATCTTAAAACTCTGGGTAATAAAAGATTTATAAAAATATTACAACTAGATGTACTTATTTTTTTCTATTTCAGATTTGGTAGCTCTATCAACAGCAAAAAATAATGTAATTGACTTAAACAAAAGCACTAAGCCAAAAGAATCTCTACCGACACCACCTGCAAAAGACCATGGCTGGGCCAAAGACACAACGTCAAAGGCTCTAATTGTATTTCCAAAACAAGAAAGCGAAGATTCCATGGACTTTATAACTAAGTTCCGAAGTACAGAATATGGCAAATTTATTGAGAAAATCTGCAAAGGATTCTACAAATCATTAATACTCGACAACAAGTCTTGCACTTTATGCAAAAAAATAAATGACTATTGTCGAAAATCATTCAAAAAACAATCATCAGTGGGACCTAATAGAAGACCAAAGTCGAGTAAAATGCCAAGTTTGTATCGGCCAAAAAGTGCTGGTAAAAGAATAAGCGTTAATAAAAGTGCTGATATTCCAAGAAAATCAGCAAATGCTAATTTTACAGCTGTTGATTTACCTTTCCAAAATGCGCCTCATTCCATAATCCATAGTCATTCTGAAGCAAATAAAAAAAATTTGGATTATGTAAAAATGTCAGTTAGTGGATGTGGTTGCATACCAAAAGTCAACATGCCTTCAAAAGCATCAGTTTCTAAAATGAAGGAAGAATATAAAGACTGCAGCAAAAAGTGTATAGACAGCCTCAAAAAAGCTGCAAGTGCAAGCAGGCTTATAAAAAAACCTATTTGCGGATCTGTAGATGGAGCCAGTTTCAATTCTGACTTTAAAGACGGCACTAAAAAAAGTCCTGGTTGTGTACAAAAATCAGCAAATTATAGTAACTGCGCTAAGAAACAGCTTATATATGCTGGAAAATCAGCTAGTGCTGAAAACATTCCAGTTCAGCAACTTATAATTCCTGGACAAGCCAAATCAACTCCTGAAAAACAAGACCTAAATAAAAGCAAAAAGAAGACTAAAATTTATTTTACCATATGTCCTAATTGTGGTTATTCTGCTTCTAAACGCAACAAAAGACTTCCTAAATGGGCACAAAAGTCAGCACGTAGATCACAAAGCTGTGAAAGACCAAAATCAAATAAATCTTCTACTAAGTGCTTGGAAGTTAAAAGTGACATATTAAAATCTTGCCAAGTCAAGTGTCCTGCAAAACCAAGCAAAAGTGTAAATGAGACTAAATGCGCTGAAAGTGAACCTTATACTGCAGTCACAAAAGATGGTATTCGTACTGAAAAGTCTTCAACCGTGGTCCACCTGTGGAAAGAACGCAAAGGCTCTAAGTCAAAACTCAAATCTCCAAGACAAAAAGTCTCATCAAAATGTTGCGTTCCGGTCAAAAAGTACCAACGGTCTCTAACATACCAGGAGAAGTTGTCAGCGGGCAAAAACAAGAAATGCTCTTCCAACTGCGAACCGAAAAGACCTTTGACGTGTAAAAAATCAGTTGATTCTCCCACACGTAAAAATCATACTTTCACCAGGCATTTATGTACTAATGATTTAAAAACAGATGTTTCTTCTGTCCCAGCCCAAGCTGCAAAAAATACTAAATCGAAATCCAAACTGTCCTGTACAACATCTGATGGATCTATATCTCGGAAAGGCAAGCCACCCATGTGCATAGGTACTACTACACTTAACATGCATCCGAAACTACCAAATCCAATATCCAGTTCAACGAAAATCTACAAATCTCTCAGACACGACAAAAATGATGATTATATACCCAATGCACAATTTCCGAAAAAGGTTGTTTACCGTAAACATTCCAACACAAATGTAGCAATGAAAATACCAAAACTGTTTGATATGGTAAGAAGTCAGTCTTGTAGTTGTGGACGACGTGATTGTCCTCATCAAGTGGATCAGATTTGGGAACCAGAAAAACAAGCGGATGCATCTCGTTTTCTAAAAAGTTGCAGCAGTTTTATGACCAATAAGCACATTAGTAAATTGAGAGCAAGATCTCAAAGTCCTAACAACGACAATGGGGAAGGAACGTATCCGTTTAAGATCACAAATTCCTTGAGATCATTTTTCTCAAAAATTACTAGTTCCATTACACGTTTTACGCACTCGGAATGTTGCCAAGACAAAAAGGGTGTTGGGAATATGGACTATTTAACCGACTATAAAGCAAATCCTGACACAGACAAATCATTTCACAAAATATTTGCCTCAACAGATATCAACAAACGAGATCCTACCAAGTTAGACACTTGTATGGATGATACATCCTTTTCTAAACCTAAATGGAATGTCGATGGTGAAAAAATAATTGCTAAAGAGTTGGTAAACTCATTTACAACCAATGCTCCCGATATTGCATTCAATGATGAATCAGTGAATAATGATATAGGTGTAAAACACTGTGCACAAAGTGGATGCCCATACCGGATTCAAAATTGTTCTTGTCCTAACCAAGGCTGTCCTTGGCAACAAAATTGTCCTTGCCATAATCGTGGTCGGTGTCCCTGCCAAAACCAAGGCTGCCCACTTAATAACCAAAGTTGCCCATGCATGAACCAACAAGGTTGTCCATTCCGTAACCAAAATTGCCCCTATCGTCAGAGCCCTTGCGGTTGCCCTAACTGCCCTCGCCGTCGCCAAAACTGTCCATTTAGTAATTGCGGTTGCGGTAATTCAAATTGTGGTTGTCGTAACCGATGTTGCCAATGTGGCCAATCGTTGAACATTGTCATCAGAAGTAGCTGTCCATGCATGCAAACAGGATCGTGTCCTTGCGGTAGAAATTTACCTTGTCCATGTGGTGTTCAGAGTGCATCTTCCCAGCCTTGCCCTTGTGGTAAAGAAGGTTGCCAATGTAAAAAACCTGGTGACAAGATCGTACAGACAAAGTGTTCTTGTGGTAACCAACCTTGCACATGTGGAGCAACACCTGGTACTGGACCAATACCAGGTTCTACATGTACTTGTGGTAATCAGCCTTGTACTTGTGGTACAGTTGTGGCAACAAAAGCAGATCCAGCAATTGCCACAGTTAAACAGGAGCTATTCAAGAAAAAGGAACCATGTCCATGTGCTGATAAAGGATGTAAGTGCGCTGAAACTGGAATTTGCATATGTCCCAAACGACGTCGTAAAAATCTAAAAGATCCGAAGTAAAAACTTTTGAATTCACAGATATTCAATTCCTGATAATAGATTAGTTTACTGTTAGTTCCACATTTGATCGTAATTTTATATTCTTGACCAAAATTGTTTAACAAATATATGGATAAATCATAAAGTTTTGTTCTTCAATATCTAATCTCATGTAAGCAAATAAATCTTATATATAAAAATGAATCGCAAAATGTGTTGGTAAGCGCATAACTCAACCACGCCTGAACCAATTTAGCCAATCCTTTTTTTTAAATGTTTGTTGATGTTCAAGGATGGTTCTTACTGCGAGAAAAAATCGAATAATTGCCGGAAAAACCCTAAAAACAGCCCTTTTTTTTCTCATACAAACGTTTTCTAACTAAAAAGTAGAATCCATTTGAGCTTAATTGCTATTATATAAAGTTCATATTAAATTACAAGCACTCACTGTATACTTCTTCTAAACGATTATGCGGATTTTGATAAATCTTTCTAAAGTTTGTTAAGGAAATTTTCTAGGATGCATGTGATTATAAAGTGCTAGGATGTATGTGCAATATTGTAGAAATAGCTGGAAAAAATTGTGAAAGCGACATGTCATTGTTTGCATTGAAAACAATTGAAAATTATCATCTTCCAAAAAATTTCAATTTACTTATGAACCTAGACAATATTAGAATATGTATAATAAATTTATGATTATGAATAAGAAAAATGAAATGTCTATATTATTATGGCCAAAAAGCAGCTGAGATGTGCCAGAAATTAAAGTAATATAAAATACAGTATATGTAAGGCAGATTAAATAATACACATATAAACAGGATATGACAAATTAAATCACTTAAAATATGAAATTAAGTATTAATCAGGGCGGGATCTACCTTTAATGCGATGCATGCAAAAAATACGTGCGCACGCCTTAGGAGGCACCAACACAAGATTCGGATATTAAATTTTCAATATAGTTTTTTTTCAATATATAATTTCTTTGCATCTTTTACTAATCTTTCCATAATATTTTTAAAATTCGTAAAAATGTCACTTTATAACAACAAATGGAAAAGTAAAGATGAATACATACAATTCGGTCCTCACGATATCGGTTAGGAGAAGTTTAAGATGGAATTTTGGATATCTTAAATAATAAAAAATTAAATTAAATTAATCCAACATGAAGTACCAGTGTTATGTTATGGTTATGGTTATGTTAAACCGTTTAAAAGACTTCAATTTCCAATATAGTGTGGGAATTGAGTCTCATCATTTTATTTAAAGCAGTTCTACATTTAACATCGCTCATATTATAAATGTATATGCATTTTGGCGTGAAGAGTACTTTAAAAAACAATAATTATTATTTTTAAGTAAACGATAAATATTAGTATGTTATATTAAAAAATTGTACACATGGGTACAGGACAACGTCTGTCGGGTTATATAGTATATTATAAAAACTCTTCCCAAAATTGCAAACGACTTTCATCAGGATCTGAAATCATTTTTAATTCGTTGCCAATATCAAAACAATCCTGTTTTTCTGCTGAAGCTGGTTTCCATTTCACTGGTAGTACATCATTGATTTCCGGAGTTGGGTTTCTGCAAAACAAATTAAATATTATTGTAACTAAAGTTAGATTTAAAAATATACGGTCTTACCCTGTTTTGGCAAAATTAGTCCAAAGTTGCAATAGTCTTTCCCGATTTGTAACAGCACTTGGTAAATCTTTTGGAAAATCAGTAAAAATTGTTTTGAATAAATAACCAAGCTCATCACCGTGAGCAGCTCCTGGTAAATGAGGATCTAGTATGATTTTTTTCAAAAATCCAAAATCATCAAACGAGTAAATATATAAATATATAGGTTCTGCAGAGTTTTGGATTGCATATTGTGCAGCTCTTTTAATTCCTCTCAAAAACCAAGTATCACCTAGTAAACTAACAAAATGTTCTGTATTGTTTGATGAAACAGGTTCATCATTGTAGTAGAACTTTCTCATATCTTTAGCCAATTTTATTGAACGTTCAGATCTCAAAGTGAGATTTAAGTCTACAGGTACAAATCTCTCAAAATCAGCTTCCAGCTTTCCAAAAATACTTGAATCATTTTTAAAATCCATCAAACCTAAAATTCCTTCAGCACTGTTATAGCCTAACATAAAAGGAACTTTATTGAAATTTCCTGATTTCATTTTTGATTCCGGCGTTTCATCCAAGAATGGTTCAAAACTTGCAAAACGTTTTTCTATTGATGGTAAAAATGGATGATCAAGAAACAGTTGACCTTTGTCATCTGGTTTTACTCTGTTGTCTATAAGATCTTCAATGGAGGCATTACGAAGTATTTGTACAGCTTCTTGTTCATTTTCTGTGGGATGTCCCAAAAGTCTGCAGAGCTCAAAGGCATTCTAAAACATATAATGTTACAGTTTTTTTTATATCAAGACTTATTAAAATTAATAGATTACCCGTTTGGTGTCTTCGTGTTGGAGTGCCCAAGGGTTAAAAGCAACTCCACTTTGAGAAATTGCTTTGTGGAAAAGTCCTTGGGCAAGATCTGATAACACTAAATAATGCACACTTGCACCACCAGCTGATGATCCAAAAATAGTCACATTGTCAGGATCACCACCAAATGCAGCAATATTTTCTTTGATCCATTTTAAGGCTTGGACCTAAAAAAACACATAATTTTATATCTACAATTTTATTTTATTTTGTTTCAAATTGTTTTCACCTGATCCATCAGCCCGACATTCCCAGGTGCGTCTTCAATCTCCAAATTCAAAAATCCAAGAACACTTAATCGGTAATTAATTGTGACCAAAATAACCCCATAATCCACTAAATAATCAGGACCATATAAATCACTGTCGCCTGATCCTTGATAAAATCCTCCTCCATGTATCCATACCATTACAGGAAGAGGTTTTTCGGATGTTTTTGGGACGTAGACGTTGAGGAATAGACAATCTTCAGCACCTGGAAGTATAACAGGCTTTTAATGTTTAATTTTTACATTTTACTACATTATATGAAAAAATAACGCATAAAAAGTTCTAATAATTAGCCAAGAGTATAAATTGCCTAAAAACAGCAAACAGCAATTTCTGGCATTGAATCACTGTCCAATTATAACAGAAAATATTAAATTCTAATAAGTAATTTTGTATTAATGTACGTAATATGCATAAATATGCATATGATATAGTAATTTATAATTTTTCTTATTACCTATCTTAATATTAGTAATAAAATGAAGTGATCTACAAGCTTCTCCTTCTTGGGTAGCATTTCGCACACCTGACCATGGTTCTGCGGGTTGAGGAGGCTAAAAACAAAAATATAATCATTATGTAATAAAATTGTAGGTATTCCTATTCAAGTACATGTATCAATGGTTACCATTAATTAGAAGTACAGAATAGACGTCCATCCTAACCAACTAGCATGTCATTTATACCAGAAAGGCCAGCCGACCAGGCTTGAAAGAAAAATACCTGGAGACCTAATATAGTTTAACTAACTATAATATTTTCATTTTACTACATTTTATTGTTTTTTTTTATTTTGTTTTTAGTTTTTTTTAATTATATTAGTTCTGCGGACATCTACTAATTTGTAAACGACTAATTATAAACAACTTGTCAGCATTCTCTGTTAAATATAATTATAAATACAGATTAGAGAATAAAATTAAAATTAAAAAAAAAATGTAATAGAATTATTATTAATATTTTTTTGCTGACAAAATTCATTCATTATTGTTTTTGGGAGTTTCGTAGTGCTCTGATAAGCGCCTGGCTTCGAATTTTGCATTTTGGACAACCTGATATCAAGCAGTAGTGATTTTCATACAGATAAAAATTCTTAAAAAAATCAATAACGTGATTAATGGACGTCTCCTAAAGCGTGTTTGTGTGCACCACAGACTGTGTGGATATACATAAAAACATTTACATTACAAAATTTTTAGTGTTTCCAATTTATCACCAAACTAAATTTTTAATCTTCAAACATTTACCTTAAATCTTAGTTCCCCAAGAGGAGGTTTTGCATAAGGAATTCCTGAATAACTATGAAAAACATTTCCTTTCTCACTGATCAATTCTTTTCCTAAAAGTGTTCCTTGCTGAATTGTAACTTGAGGTTCACATATTGTAAAATCAACACTAATATTAAAAACTAGTACATAAAATAATAATAAATACATTTTTATATAGGCTTAATATAAAATATTTCCGACAATTATCGCGTATGCTTGTGATACAACAAATGTTAAAAAAGTAGTGATATTCGTCTTAGAAGTATATTTGAATTTCAATAATATTGACATAGGTCGGTGAGTCAAAGCTGTATCACTAACAAGTAGCAATTTGCTTCGAATAATAACAATCAATATGTTAATTGAATGTTTATATATGCAGTCTGCATTTTTTTGTAATGGTTATAAATAAAATAAAATATGAAGAAACCGGTTGAGAGAAACAGGTTGAAAATAGTTTTTTTAATCGATATGGGGAATCACTATAGGACATTTCAAATATTATTACATAACAGTAACATTTTTATCAATATCTTTTTTTTTATTTTTATCAATAATATGAGAATATTTTATAAATCATCTTATTCTAGTAATAATAATCACATTTAAAATTCAACTACCAATTAAAAAAATTAATTTCTTAATTTTTTTCAAATAACTTTTGCTTATAATAGTAATCAGTTCTTTAGAAAGCGCGACAAATTTAGGCACCGAACACCATCTGTTGATAGTGTGAAACACTAAAACAAAATACAGCGCATTTATTCTAATTTTACCCCTTATTTCTATATTATTCAAACAAAAATAGCTTTTTCTCTAATAATGAGAACAAATAAATCAAAATATACTTCAATCAGTATGCCAATACAAAAACTCTATAATAAATATATGTATATAGTAGTAATATTGTAGAATTACAATTATCATAAATATTTATTCCAAAATCTCAGTCGTTTTGCATCAGGATCTGGAATCATTTTCATCGTATTATCGATAACCAGATGATCTGATTTTTCCTCAGTAGCTTTATCCCATTTTGTTGTTATAACTTCATTGATCTCAGGAGTAGGATTTCTAAAAATACAAGCAAAAATAAAAATTCATTTATATGTCAATTATTATATTAACTCACCCAGTTTTGGCAAAATTTGTCCAAAGTTGCAACAATCGTTCCCTATTCACCACAGCACTTGGTAAATCTTTTGGAAACTCCGTAAAACTCATTTTAAAAAGATATCCTAGCTCATCCCCATGAGCTGCTCCTTCAATATGAGGATCTAACACAAGTTTTTTCAAAAAACCAAAATCATCAAAACTATAAACATATAAATACAAAGGTTCTGATGAATGTTCAATTATATATCTTGCAGTATTTTTAATCCCTCTCAAAAACCAAGTATCACCAATCAAGTCGACAAATTTTTTATTGTTGGTAGATGACACAGGTTCGTCCTGGTAATAAAACTCTCTCATTTCTTCAGCAAGTTTTTTAGATTCTTCAGACCTCAAAGTAAGATTCAAATCAACTGGTACAAATCTTTCGAAATCAGCTTCAAACTTCTCGAATATATTTGGGTCATCCATAAAGTCCATTAAACCTAAAATTCCTTCAGCACTGTTGTATCCACATATGAATGGTACTTTTGTGAAATTGCCTGATTGCATTTTTGATAGTGGAGATTGATCCAGGAATGGTTCAAAATTTGGATAACGTTTTTCTATTGTTGGTAGAAAAGGATAGTCTATTATGAGTTGACCTTTGTCTTCTGGTTTTACTCTGTTTTCTATGAGATCATCTATGGAAGTTTGGCGAAGGATTTTTAGAGCTTCTGCCTCGTTATCGGTAGGATGACCCAGAAGTTTGCAGAGTCGGTATGCATTCTGAAAATAATGGAATTCATCAACAAAGCACCTAAATTTTTCCTTTGAGATTTCTTCTTTTATGGATGGATTAAGAGGGTATTCTACTGTAGAATTTTGAAAAAATCGAAAAAATTTTTTTTACATATTTTAAAAGTTTAGTTATTCAAAAATATGTCATTAAAAGGATTTTTCAAAATTACTATTATTTCCTGAGTTATAGCCGTTTTAGAGACGTGGCCTCGGTTCGGGTCCGACTTGTCTCAAAACTTTGAACGCGTTTTTCTCGAAACTACTGTTTTCGAGCTGGCGTTAAGGATATCTCGAGTTCTAATAAACTGATTTACTTCAAATTTGGAGAGGATCTTCTCTATACATCGCTTTATCGTATGGACCTTGCCCAAAACTATAACTTCTCATTTAGTATTTTTAAAAAATACGGAATTGCTAAAAAAACATGAAAAAAAATAATTTTTTTTTCAAACTGCTGCCATTCAAACAAAAACCATTTTTTTAACTTATCCAAGGTTCATACGATAGCGGCATCTATTATAATTAAGAATCCATCTATTTTTTATGTTTCAAATCACCAGGAGGGTTGGAATCATGTACGCCAGGACACCCTCTTTTTTGGGGAACTTCCACTTTGACTGCTCATAACTTTGTGAATTTTAATTTTTTTTTTCTAATAATTTTTTGATGTAATGATAAAATATCAATAAACAAATGATAAAAAAATCGATAATAAAAATATTATTTGTTTCCTTTATACAGCGCTTCAAAAACCGGGCGAAATTCATGACTCTACAGTAGAATACCCCCTTAAAATACAATTAATCGACAACTTACCTCTTTATTATTATCATGCTGAAGTGCCCAAGGATTAAAAGCACTTCCACTTTGCGAAATTGCTTTATGAAAAAGTTCTTTAGAAAGATCTGATAACATCAAATAGTGAACACTTGCACCACCTGCTGATTCTCCAAAAATTGTCACATTGTTGGGATCACCACCAAAGGATGCAATGTTGTTTTTTACCCATTTTAGTGCCTCAACCTCAAATGACAAAGAATAAAACTTAACTATATATTAATCAAAATTATAATGAGTATGTGTTAAAAATAATTTTTTTGTCGGCTGCATGTGAATTCTGCTGCTGCTTTAACTCTAATCTGTGGTAGATATATTATAGAGTTTTAGTACGTATTACAATTTTATAGAATTTTCAACAAAAATAAGGAACAAATACAAATTCATTGTCAGAAGTTTGATATTTTACCTGATCCATCAAACCGACATTCCCAGGCGCTTCCTCGATTCCCAGGTTTAAAAATCCCAATACTCCTAATCGATAATTGAAAGTAACCAAAACAATTCCATAATCCATCAAATATTCAGGACCATACATATCTCTATTTCCAGATCCCATAAAGAAGCCTCCTCCATGTATCCATACCATTACTGGAAGAAGGGATTTCTCTGATGTTTTTGGTACATAGACATTGAGGTATAGACAATCTTCAGCCCCTGGAAAAAATATAATAAAAATTATAATACTGTTATAGAAATGTAGAACTTGTCCGAGATAAAAGCTTTGGAATTCAACTACAAGGGATAACTGGGACAGCTTGGTATCAAGCAGTAGTGATATAAGTTTTCACTTAAAAATATAATTTTAAAATCCAAAAATCCTAACGCGGATTGTTGAAACACATACCATATCACTTTCAGAAATATCTAATAATAACTTAAAAAAAAACAACATTGTATTGTCTTCTAGTAAATAATACTTCTTATAAGAAATCACATCACAACAGCTCAATTGCAGTATTTCTGATTGTTGTTCAACGAACGTTATAATAATATTAGTATATATTAGTATTAGTATTAATTGTATTTATTTACTAATTTCAAATTTAGTGTTTTTTTGTAGATATTTTAATATAATAATGATTTTAACTTACCTACTTTAATCTTTTTAATAAAATGTACAGATCTACAACTATTCCCTTCTTTAGTAGCATCAAGGACACCTGACCAAGGTTCTGCAGGTTGAGGTGGCTAAAAATAAAAATTATTTAACAAAAATAAATTTTCATTGCTGATTCACAACATTTATACTGCTAAATATTATAAAAAAATGTTATTTACAGTACAGTACTGTAAATTACATTATCCAACTTTTCAAATGTACAAATATTAAAAATTTAATTTTACAGAATAAATTAATGCTTCCTGAAAATTGAGACTTCTTAATGAGTTTTTTCAATTTTGTATTAAAATGCTTCAAAATTATAGATTTATTTTCATTTACCTTGAATCTTAGATCACCAACTGGAGGTTTGGCATATGGAATTCCAGAATAACTATAAAACACATTTCCCTTTTCATTAATTTGCTCTTTTCCTCTCAAAGAACCTTGTAACAAAGTCACTTGAAGATCACCCATTGTAAAGGGAAAATCTCAGGTAAAATACTAAACAAATTATTAGCAAATTCATTATTCGAAAAATATATTATAACAAATTATCTATGAAGTTATCTAGTTTATATTTTATTTATTTAGTATACTGTTCGATACATAATTTACTAAGTAATTTATCAAATTCACGTGAACGACTAATACAATATACAAAATTCTAAAAACAAATACATAAATCGCCGAACAGGTTGTTTTGGTTATGCTCAATTAAATTGAATGAAAAAACTAATCACAGAATTATTTGATTATTTATACAGATTGTTTTTATCAACTCTAATATTTATTTTGGGTGATTTGACGAATGTTATTAGCGAACTGGTTTCTTCAAATATTTAAGCAAATGTTATAAAATTTCAAACAGATGTAAGCAAAAAACTTTTGGTTGAGTTAGTGTTTGGTATATAAACAATATGAAAAGAAAAACATAAAAAAATGTAGAAGTTGTTTTAAATTTATAAATAATCAAATTATTATTGTGAAGCTATATTTTGTATATGAATCAAAATTTATTCAATTTCTCAAGTAAAATGTAATTCACATTTTCATAAAGTAAGTACTTAAAATAATTCATTATATCTTGATAAACAATTACATGTGTGCGAATTTTTTATGCAATATTGAAAAATTCATTACAAAATGTGAAAACATCAAAATAAAAATCAAAATAATCAAATTTATAAATAAACTGATTTTTATACCACACGATTATAAATAAATCTTGGCCCAGATTTTGATGTTGTGACAAAATGCACCAGGCCGGTCTTTAGCAGAATCATGTTTATATTCAACAATATATGAAAATACAAATTATATTCGACTTACAATTAATCACAGTCTAAAGTCCATATTTTTGGCTAGGTTCTTCTTTAAACATATACTAATAAAAATATAATTTGATGTGATGTAACTCAAACGACTTAATAAACACAAAATGATACTAGAACCTCTTCATTGCATGCATTGTGCTCTAGTCGGGTGCGACAACCTTGAAGCAATTAAACCTGTTCCTGTCGGATAGCTTTGTGCAGGTGTTGGCAACATTGGATAATAGAAAATAGATACAATTTGTAAAATATTATTAAAAGTTTTGCCGAATACAAGATTTAAAACAACACGTTCGTAGACAGTGAAAGTTTCAGCTTGGTACAAAAATTTATAGTGACTTTATTTTTAAATTGATTTTGATATCCGAAATTTGATTAAAAACACCGTTTATAAGGGTAGTTAGATGATCTTATTTTAAACGTTATATACTATGAATGCTATAGCATCCACGTCAAGTATTACGCTTATATTTAACGCAATTTGATTAAAAAACGTATATAAGGATAGTCAAATTATTATATTTTAATCGTTATATACGATGAATGTTATAGTATATATAAAAATGTAAATTAAAAAGGGTTCTGAAATAACTATAAATCATAATTGAAAAATAAAAATTTATCTTTTAGATTTTATTAGTATTAAAGTGAAAAATTGTATTTAATCTTCACAATGCAAATAACATTTTTAAATGAATTACTACGTGTTTTTAATATTATTGATTAATTAAAATATGAAAAATTAATGAAGATTCTCATTTAACATTCCAAAGTACTATAACATATTAGCAATAATATTATAATAATTTTGTCATATAATTTTTGACTTTTGTTATGCGAAAATTATGAAGATTTATTTCTAAAATTAAATATTAATCTTCATAAACATGACTAAAAAATTATTACTAATTTGTGATATTAATGGCGTAAATTTGAGATAATATTTTCGTGACTTGTAAATAAATTAATTACTAAAGCTTTGTATACAAAATTCAAAAGAGACACTATTTTTATAAATAAAAAGCATTTAAATAAATATATCAATTAGCCAACAGTCATCTTCAATAATTAATGAATTGATCATATTTTTTCCCTAACTAACTACATAAACACATAATATAATATAGTAAATATTATTTAGTCATATTTTCCCAAAATTGAACTCTATTTTGAAGTGGATTTGTACTCATTGCAAGAATATTTCCAATGGATAGATAATTAAGTTTGTTTTTAGTAACTTGCTCCCATTTAACTGGAATAACATCATTGGTTACTTCTGTGGGATTCCTAGAAAATATCATAACAAATTAGAAAAAAAATAAAAAAACATTTTAAAATATTTAACTGAAAATTAGTTTCAAATATCTTATTAATATAAATCTCATCCTAATTGATAAAAATCTATTTTTCTATTCATAAATATTTGTTTCTTCAATGTACAATTTAATCTGAAATCAAAAAATGTTCTTTTATGTTTATTTTAACTTCAATAAATTTTTCCATAAATTCTGTCAAATTGCACTTTAAGCCGTGAGATTAATGATAACTAATATATCATCAATTATTATTTATTATCATTTACCCAAATTTGGCAAAATTTGTCCACAACTGCAAAAGCCTCTTCTGATTCAACTTTGTACTTGGTATATTTTGTGGAAACTGCACAATTTCATTTCTAAATAAATAACCAAGTTCGTCACCATGACAAGCCCCTGTAATATCAATATCACCCAACATCGCCTTCATAAATCCAAAGTCATCAAAAATATATTCATAATAAAAAATCGGATTATCTGGTGAATGTTTGATCATCAGTTTCACATTATCGTTAATCCCTCTAACGTTCCAAATATCTGTAATGATATTGACAAAGTTATCAATGTTTTTGGCTGATACTGGCTCATTGCTGAAGTAGAATTCTTTCATGTTTTTGGCAATTTTGATAGAAGCTTGTGATCTTAAAGATGTCGATAAGTCTGATGGAACGAACATTTCAAAATCGACATCATGTTTGGAGAATGCGTCTGAGTTTTGAGAAAATTCTGTGTAGGAATAGATGCCTTCGGCATCATTAAATCCTGTAATGAATGGGACTTTATGGTATTTTCCTTGCAACATTCTTTGCAAGGGTGCTTCTGTCAAAAATGGTTCATGGGTAGAAAATTTCTTTTCCAAAGATGGCACGTAAACAAAATCCGTCATAATTTGATTTTTAACAGCCCGAGGTATCTTGGCTTTCAACATGTCATCAACTGGTACGCTCCTAAGAAACTCTAAGGCTTCTTTTAAATTTCTGGTAAAATTACCCAAGGCTCTGCACATTGCAAAAGCATTTTGCACGTGATTTTTTTGGAAAGCCCACGGATTTAAAGCACTTCCACTTTGTGCAATTGCTTTGTGAAAAAGATTTTTTGTAGTATCAGAAAGCATCAAGTAGTGCACACTTGCAGCTCCTGCAGATTGACCAAAAACCGTGATGTTTTCAGGATCACCATGGAATTGGGAAATGTTGTCGTTTGTCCATTTTAAAGCAGCAACCTGGAAAATGACTCATTATTTATATAATTATGAACTGTGGATTTGTTTTAATTTTACCTGGTCCATTAGTCCAACGTTGCCAGGACAATCTTCCAGATCTAGGTTTAGAAAACCAAGAGGTCCCAAACGATAATTGAAAGTTACAAGTATGACATCGTAGTCCATGAAATAATCAGGACCATACATATCACTGTGTGATGAACCAGAAATAAAACCTCCACCATGGATCCAGAACATTACTGGTAGTTTCTCCAATTTTGAAGTCAATGGAACATATACGTTTAGGTATAGACAATCTTCGTCTCCTGAAAAAAGGATTTAAATTGAAAAGATACAAAAATTGATAAAAATGTAGTTTTTAATTAATTTAACTTCATAATTAGAAATATCATTCCTAAAATTCATATCTAAATGAATAAAGGCAAAAGATTATCATCTGGCCTAATTAAACATAGTGTTCAAATAAATTATTTCTAGATATTACAAATATATCAATAATCAAATTTGGTCGACCATAATAATAATAAATTCTAGAGAACTATTTCATATGGTTTATTACAAATGAAAAACATGTGTCCCATCTGATTTGCACGTATAATTTTATATTTACACGAATTATACATAATTTTTAAATAAGGGTGTAATGGAAGAATATGGTGGGCGACCAAGATTCGTTTCTTCTGTATTATCGAACTTGGGAAATACATGGTATTTATGTATTTCACGATAAAAAATCAACTTTAAATAATTAATTATCATAAAATAGTATTATAAATATTTCTAATATATTAAATGATATATTAAAATAACCCCCCCCCCCTTCCCCAAACAATACGTGTGTTTTTAGTCACGTAAAATTTTTTAAACAAATTTTTCGAATTTATAAAAAAATCGTAAATAAAAAATATTTTTTTTTAATTTAGGTCAAAAATAAATACACGTAATATCTACTACCCTCCCCCACGTAATTTTTTATGGTTTTTTATCAACCAACCCTTTTTCCTTCAAAGCCTCCACCTGATTAATGGAAGCTTACTAACCTACCGAATAGTAGTATTTTAAAAAAAAACATAGAAAAATTAATTTATCAAATATTTACCAATAATATGATGCTGCAGCATATGTTTCGATCTACAACCATTTGCTTCTTCAGTAGCTGGTCGAACATCATTCCAATCATCAGGCTTTTGAGGAGGCTGATAATAATAAAAATAAATTGAAAATGACATCACAAAATATTCCAGAAAATTTCTTAATTAGCAAGTATAATTTAGGATAAAACCATAGAATAATAAAAATAATAATGAAAATAAAGAAAATATAATATCCAAAGAGGCATCAGTCTCCTTCTCTCCTAGTTCTGCTCTAAAATACCAAATTAAACTGAATTTAATATAAATAGGTAAGAAATGAGGATAATTTTTGAATTTAAAGAATTCAAAAAAATATTGCTTGCTACAGCAGATGTTTGCTTTTCTGCTTCAAATTAACAAATGAGCAATACTGATATTCAAAATCCTAATAATATCATGGTAGATTAAAATTGTTGGTTACAGTATTATGGTAGTCAAAAATTAGTACCATAAAATTTAATTTAATTTAATTATTGTCACAACCAGTAGTTTTGCCTAAGTTAGTCATTTTGTGATTAATATCCTAACAAATTCTATATTTAAAAAATGCAGTAAATTTAGAATTAAATCAGTCAAAATGAAAACTCTTCTTCTTACCTTAAATCTAAGATTTCCTATAGGCGGTTTAGCATAAGGTATACCCAAAAATCCTCTAAACGACTTTCCATTATCATTAATCATTTCCTTCCCCTCAATAGCTCCTTGAGAAATTTTTACAATTAAAGAATTCATTTTGAAATATTTCACAAATCCAACACTCTCACTAATAAACTTGATCTTGATCCACAAGATTTATTAGATTTATGTTTATTAATGATGTAAATTAGTTCTGATGTCAAATGCCATCATAGAAATAACACTGTGGTTTTGTTGCTAATTTCCAATCGATGTAAAAAATATTTATGACATGAGTATTAGTCATTAACAAATTATTGCAAATGTTATCACGTCATTAATAATGTTTTATCATAAATAAATATTGACGCGTGTTAAATAGAAAGTTTTGTGCACATTTATTTAAATTAAGCCTGTAGAATTAATATTGAACACATTTTTTATACATTACCATCCAAGTTTTACTAGTTAATATAAAAAAATAATTATAACTATTTTTACACAATAATATGACATCCATTACAGGATTATTCGACATCCATTTTCAACATCCATTTTTTCATTAAATTGGGTTGTATTTATAAAACATTTAAGAAAATTATTCTACAAGATCTGAAAATAGTGTAATTATCAAGAGATTAATATAATATTATTATAATATTTTTAGTTTGATTAAACTGGTTCAATTTAAATTATAATAATATCTGGAATAACTAAAATCAAATTTTGAGCAATTTTTAGATGTTAGGGTCTATTCTCAGAAAAATAGAAATTTTCTGCTAATGGGTCTAACTTCGTATTAACAAATCACAAAATTCTCCTAAATTCAACAAAGTATACCGTCAAACATAATTAAGCAAAGATTTTTATTTAAATTATTTATACTAGAACTAACATAAAAAAATTAAAAAACACACAATTAACACAAAAAACTAACGAATGTGAGTAATTCAGCTCTGAAGATATACTGATTTTCAACAGTTTAGTGTGATTTAGTACTTTGAACTACAAGATTCCAAACAAGTTCAGATAAACATTAAAGACAATAATAGCTAACTAAAAATACTTTATCTGCAACGAGAGAGTGAGTCTTATCAAAATAATGTCATTTATATATAAATAATATATACTCGTGTTTGTATGTTGCATCGTCAAGATTAGATTTAATTGACTTGACAGAGAATTATCAAGCACTGTCTACTCTAATTTTTATTTTTATATAAATCTTTCTTTTAAAAATCAACGCGAGTTCTTATCGAGTTTTATAAAATGACTTTTAAATTTTTAAAATCGGTGCAGCCGTTTCCCGAGAGAACAAACATCCAAACTTTGTCTTACTAACACTTATATACTTTATCCAAATTTGGAACCAAAAAATTCAGAATGACTGGAAACGTCAACAAAAAACAAAGTTACCAAATCAAATTCTCTGGAAAAAAACAATTTTCTTCGCAAAATTAATAATCATTACATTTATAGCTCAGAACGTAGAAAATTTTATGTTTACCTAAATTACGAAATATATCTCTATGCATATATTAGTATTTAAAAATATGTAAATAAAACTATATTTGAAAAACAACAATTCATATTTCCATTTAGTATAATATTAAAAACGTTATCACTTCATAAAAATGCGAAAAATAACAAAACATCAGTATTTAAAATTATGGCAAGTTTTTAAATAGTTGAAATAGATAACTTACTGATATAGTATTTGTTCTGTAAGTAAATTTTCTTTAAAATATTCCATTACAAACGTGACAAATATTCTTTCTTGGTAGCTCGTTCCCAGAATTGTATACGTTCTTTCATTGGATTAACTTTTATTTCTAGATTTTTACCAATTGACAAATAAACCAGCTGGTCCTTGGTAGCTGGTAACCATTTGACTGGTAACAAATTGCTTGTTGATGGAGTAGGATTCCTAAAAAGGGAAAAAATACATGAAATATATCTTCAAATGAACTATCGTATTAAATACTACAGATTTTTTTACCCCGTTTTGGCAAAATTCGTCCACAAACTCAACAACCTCTTCTGTGTCACCAACGCACTCTCCAATTCCTTTGGAAACTGTGACAATTCATTTTTGAATAAATATCCCAATTCATCTGCATGACAAGCTCCTTTTACATCTTGAATGCCGACCAGATTTTTCAAAAAACCATATTCATCAAAGTTGTACTCGTAGTAATAAATTGGTTCAGTTGTCTTGGCACTCATCAATTTAACATGATCGTTTACTCCTCTTACAAACCAGCAATCGGTAACGACATCCACAAATTCCTTTCTGGTATTTTCTGATACCGGTTGGTCTTTGAAGTAGAACTGCTTCATCTCCTTAGCCAGTTTTACAGAAGCCTCTGACCTTAAAGGCAGTTGTAAGTCTGTTGGTACGAATCTTTCGAAATCGTTCTCGAATTTATCGAAAACTGCAGGATCTTTAGCAAAATCCATGAAAGCCAGGATGCCTTCGGCATCAGTTATGCCAGTCATAAAAGGCACTTTGTTGAAGTCTCCTTTGAGCATTTTTTCAACAGGTAACTCAGCTAAAAATGGTTCATGGGATGAATATCTTTTTTCCAAGGAAGGCACGAACACAAAATCAGACACCAATTGACCATCAACTAGTGGCGGTATTTTAATATTAACAAAGTCATCTACAGGAACTGTCTGCAAAAATTTTAGGGCATCCTTGGTATCTGTAGTTGGATGTCCGAGAGCGTCACACAATCTGAAGGCATTCTGCAAATTAATAAATGCAAATAAAAATCAGATTGATGAAATATTTTTAGGTATTAAATATTTACCTTTAGGTGGTGACGTTGAAAAGCCCATGGATTTAAAGCACTTCCACTTTGGGCAATCGCTTTTTGGAACAAACCTCTGGTAGTATCAGACAAAACTAAATAATGTACGCTTGCACCACCAGCAGATTCTCCAAAAATAGTAATGTTGTTTGGATCACCACCAAACTTGGCAATGTTTTGTTTTGTCCATTTGAGAGCAGCAACCTGATAGAACAAGGTGATCATATATCCTGATCCCATTGACAATTATCTGGTACAAGTTTACCTGATCCATTAGTCCGACATTTCCAGGACATTCTTCCAAATCTAAATTCAAAAATCCCAGAACTCCGAGACGATAGTTGAAGGTGACCAGGATAACATCGTAGTCCATGAGATAATCAGGACCATACATGTCAGTATTTCCTGATCCCATGACAAAACCTCCTCCATGAACCCAAAACATGACAGGAAGAGGCTTTTTGGCATCAGTTTGGGGAATATAGACATTTGCAAAGAGACAATCTTCGGTTCCTACAAAAATAGAATAATTTTTCAGAACATTTTTTTACATTTTTATGGATAACTCAAAAACTTTATTTAGGACATTCTTTTTTGTTTAGTTTAGAAGAAACTAGGTAAAAATTACTAAAATATCATATAAACAGTCTTATACACTTTCATACAAAATTTTGTATAAACTCCTAAGTTTGCCTTACAAGGATTCGGGACATTTTTGTACATTTTTCTGAATAACTCAAAAATACTGTTTAGGACACCGTATTTTCGTTAGCTTAGCAGAAACTAGATTTCAAAGATTTTTAAGTGTAATTCAGCACTATCACTTCAAAAACTACCAATAACCCTGATTGTTGTATAATATTTAATGAATAAATTTTTTATTTAATTTTACAACTGTGCTTAGTCGACAACCAGTAAACTTAAAGAAAACATAGTTAAATTGCATTTGATTTATATAGTAGGCACGCCATTGGGTGCACGCCATTGGCTGTTTATTACTTCTATTTCATATGAATAGTGTTATGTACTTTCATACAAAATTTTGTATAAATCTAAAAAAACAAATTACTTAGAATTAGTTCGTTTTATGAATATCAATAATGATGATCATGACATGTTGGAAGAATATCCACTGAGTAATATTGGCAATGAGATATAAGTGAATTTTATCGATTTGATTTTAATAACACTGGCTATAATATTTAATATTTTATTTAATTATACTTGTGATAATTTTTTATAAATATCGTATTTACCTATAGGGTGTTGCAAAAGCATATGTTTCGATGAACATTCACTGCCTTGTTCAGTGGCTTGACGAACACCACTCCATGATTCTGGTTTTTGTGGAGGCTGAAATAACAAAAAAATATGAAAAACAATCTTATTTTAGATTTTATTAATTTACTAGTTGATATACTCTTCGCAAATATAAATTTACATAAATATAAATTTTATTCTTTATACTAGTCATATACAGTGGGTCTCTCAACATGTCAAGTGCTAATCTTAGTGCCTTGTTTTGGGTTGTCTGTGAGTTTGTTTCTGTTGTCGCTTTCCATACCCAGGTGCATTTAATTCAATACAAAAAATAATTTAATTTAATATTAAAAATAACTGTTTTATAGATTTATTCACCGACATGTACGCCTTATATGACAGTGTATAATTATCAATAATTTATTATATAATATTCAATGAATTTTCTAATTTTTTACCCTGAAACGTAATTTGCCAACTGGAGCAGCAGCATATGGAATTCCACAAAAACCATGGTACTCTTTTCCATTTTCATTAACCAGAACCTTTCCTGATAAAGTGCCCTGGGCAATTGTTACTGTAGGAGCACTCATTCTGAAAAAAATAATTTTATTAATTTATTAGTATATATAAAAATTGATAAATTGGTTTAAAAAGTACTACTAACAAAATGAATGGATTTTAAAAATTGCATCATACAATAATAATAATATATTTCAAGAATAGGAATTTTCATCTCATTGCTGAAGTTTTTTTACATATAATATTAAATGAATGTAAGCATACATATTAATTATTGACTATATTTATATAATAAAAGTAATTTATATATATAGTGAGTAACAAATAGTGACACATAGAGATGAATATTGTAGATAGTGTAATTAGAGACAATAAACGAGTATTTAGAGATAAGGTGTGTTAATAGAGACAAACTAAGTTAACAAATAGGTGCATTTTCATTGCATTTATTTGCTTTTATATAAATATATATCTGTGTGATATTAAGGATTTAATTTAACATATTAGAAAAAAATGATTGATTGAATGGTCTGAAAAAAAAACAGACAAACTTTTCAAAAATTAGTAATAACTTATATGATATTTCAATAATATACTGAACTAAAAATGATTTTTGTATTATTGTTGTCACTTGAGAAATAATATCTATTTTGTGATTAACTAATTTAAGTTCATTATTAAATAAATTTTAGTACAAATAAGTACCATAATTACACATTGATTAGTATAAATTATTTTTTCTTTGAGAAGTAATATAAGAAATACATAATTTGCTGTTGACCTTGGAAACACCATATAAAAAATATTTTATGATCAATAAAAATACAAATTTAACTTTGACAAATTCTTGATATAGAAGGTGCTAAATAAATTCAATAACATTTCTTACGAACATGTTGAATTACAGGTGCATTTATTTAATATTTTTTCACTTTTTAAGTATTTTTACAAGTATTTAGATGAGATTGTATCATAAGTCAACTTTTATCCAGAAAACATTTGTTATTCGTAACTATTCATTTGTTTTAAAAAATTATATTATATAGATTCATAACTATTCATTTGTTTTAAAAAAAGATATTATATAGAAAAAATGTAAGCAATAGTATGAGCATTAAAAACTTTCAAGAAACTTTGAAAATTCGGTTTTCTAAACAGAAACAAAAATATTTAAAAAACAAATAAAACCAAAAAAGTATATAAAAAATTAAAATCACAAGACTCCTGAATTTGTTATTTTCAGATTGTATATTCAATATTTTTTTTAAATTATACTGAATATGATTTTATACAATATATTTATTAAAAAGTAGTACATACTCTATATATATAAGTCTTAATATCCAGATATTTTTTTATCTTTTTTGAATTAGGATTCTACTATAACAGACTACAATAATGTATTCTAAAAAAATTATATTATTAAAACAGAAAAATGATTTTATTTTGAAAAAAAAAAAACAAATCAAAATATTACGAAAATCATGTTTTTATATAATTAACCATTACTGAAACCCGACCAATTTTAATATTTTTTATTATGTCTGCGTTACATGACAATTTTGATATCACTTCAATTTTGATTTGAGATACATTCTATTTTTAAGATATCAACAAATGTCAATTAATTTTAAAAAATATAATTGTAATCATTATAATATATATAAATATATATCATCCAATTAGGCATTTTTGTATAATCACTATTTAGTGACTTGCAAATATTTCACTAGATAATGTGACTTAATCAAAAAAACAAATATTATTTCAAGTAGATATAATTATTGCATAGATAAATAGAGAATTATGTGTTATCATCATTTGTTTAAATATATCGAAAAAAATTGTCAATAGTACTAAAAGATAATAACTATTTTTTGGTCATGTAATTAAAAGTCTATTTAATAAATTGATTTCGGAAATAAAGTTGTATAAAAATTAATGATTTTTGTTGTTTATATGTAATTGAATATCATAGTTGTGGTAATAAGAATTTTTGTTACTATTGTTAACCCTTTCCACTCGCGAGTTCCGAGATTTATATGAATTATGCCGTCGGAGCAAAGCCGTCGGCATCCGAGTGGAAAGGGTTATTTATATCGACTTGTTAATTTTATAACCGTTTGAAATTAAATAAGTATAATTGTATAAATAATGAACTTGACTCCAAAATAATTTGTTCTAAATAAACGACTTTACACATTTTAATTATTTATACAAGTTGTATTGATTAATTTTACATCTAACTAATAGATATTTTATTAAATATATTTTAAATATTTAATATCTAAATAGACCAATAATTGGTCCGATAATTTATTAATTATAATTTTTGTCGCAACTATTAATTTATGACATATATTTTTTTTTAAATTGTTTGAAATCACATAATAAGTATATATATGTTTAGAAAATACTTTAAAATTGTATCCAAAATAATTTATTCTAAATAAACGATTTTACAGATTTTAATTATTTATATAATTTATTGTATTGAAAAAATTTACATCTTGTTAATACATATTTTATTGATTATATTTTGAATATTTAATATTAAAATACAACAATATTTGACCCGATATATTTTTTTAATTATTATTTTTGTTGCAACTAATAAATTAAATAATTTAAAAAATTTTCAAGTTGACTGAAATAAAATAGGCATATGTTTTTATTATAAATAAACGATTTTACAGATTTTAACTATTAATACAAGTTATTAATTGATTTTGAATTTAACTAATAATTAATTAAATTAATTAATTAATTAACAGTTAAATAATGTTTTAACTAATAATTATTTTGGTGAAGCATTTTTAAATATTTAATATTTAAACGGCCTGATAATTTCCGATAACAACTCTTAACAAGCCTGTTAATATTGGTGACCTTGATAAGTTTGATAATAAAAGTAATTTTATAACAATTTATTTTTGTTTAATAAATACTGAAATAATGATAAAAATGGAAATATTGAATAAAACTTACTTTTAAAGTTTCCTAAGAAAAACACTTGTGCACAACAACCGGTACCTGCACAAAGACTACAAATACAAAAGCCGACTGCTTTATCAAAACATAATTTCTAATTCCACTGAATGCAGGGGTGGTCAACCTAAAATTAAAATTTAAAACAGAATGTTAAAAATAATGTATATATTTTATGAGCCATAATAAATTTAATATCGATTTTGGAAAGTGCGATTAAAGAGTTGTGAAATAAAAGAGAGTATAAAAAAAGATTAATTAGAAATTGCGATTAAAGAGACCTCGAGAACGATTTCTTAAATATTTTCGACAAACTCAAGTACACAAATTTTAATACCTACTCAATATTTACTATAATCTAAGTATCAGCTATAAATTACTATATAAAAAAATATTTTTTATGTAAGAAAAATGTATCTACATTTATGTATTATTAAACATTAAACGGCTTTATGTAGACCCAACAAATATTGGTATTGAATTATATTAGTTATATATTGTATATAATAATAGTAGTAAAGTAATATTGTATAGTATTATTATATTAGTATTAGTATTAGGGATGACTTTGATTTGAATATCAATTTTTTATGGTGTTTTGTTTATTAAAATGTTAGTCATCCCAGCCAACTAATACCTTTGAAACTGATTACTATAATAATAGTAATAAGAGAGACGTTTTATATGTGTTGGCAAAAACATAATTGACTTTATCTAATGATATGATGGTGGACAAAACCTTGAACTAATTAAAATTAAATATATTTTCAACATGCTGCTAGATAGAGCTACTATTTAAAATTGTCTATATTAACGTAGTTAAGAAACTAACATGAAATTTATAGGCGACTGTTCTGTTCAGTTTTTTTCTTTTAAAATATAACGTACATAATACAACAGTTACATTTGTTTCGTTTCATATAAAATATATTAGATTCTTTCACTTTATTTTAAATATAAAAATTGGTAATGGTGTAATCTTTAACAAATTTTATTTTATAATTAGTATATAATAAAATAAATAAAATATACCAAAACAGACTTATTTTCAATACCATGAAAACGATGTGATTAATAAAACAAATGATCAAAATGCTGTAACAATTATTAAGGTATTCTTTTATTCATTTACGTTCCCTTGAGCTTATTGGAAATCGTATCCCATGTTTTCATTCGATTTTCTTCTTCCATTTTTTTCATCTCCAATGATGAGCTAATGTCCAAATAACTATTACTGCCAGCGGAGAAGCGATTCCAGGTTACACCATTCATTGTGGGATTTCTATCAAAACAATTATATCAATGAATATATTTTAGCAATAATATAATGCACAATGAAAAGTTACCCTGTTTTTGCAAAATTAGTCCATAACGTCAATATGTTACTTTGAACCCTTTTTGTTTCATCATCAGGAAGATGATTAGCAGGAGCACCCAAAAAACCATCTTTGGGTCTAAAAAGGTATGCTTGTTCATCCCCATGTGCCACTCCACTGAATGATTTATATTTAGATGATGTTTTATATTCATGGCTTTGTTTATATGAACTATATTTGTCATAAGACAATCTATAAAAGTAAGTTGTTATTCCGCTACTTGCAAAGTCTTTTGCTGTATTATATATGCCATGAATATATTGAGCATCGCCTACTAAGTTCACAAAATCTTCTAAAAGTTTTTGGTTTTCGGTTGCAGTGACATATTGTTGTTTTATTAAGTTGGTAATTTCATCTTGAGTTGTTTTGTCAATGTTTTCTTTTCTTGGAATAAAGAGCCCTAATACTTCATCAGCTGTATTAATAGTTTGGTAATGTTCAGTTGCTAAATTGATACCTTCTTTCGAATTAAAACCAATCATTACTTGTACATTAGATTTCTCTTTTAAATAATTCATATTTTTCGGAGTTTCTGTTATAACTGCACCTACAGAATCCGGTGATTCAATAACTGGTGAAAATATCGGTAATCCTCTAATTTTATCATCATTATTTATTATATCTGTAGAAGCTTTGAATACTGCGGCACTTTTATAATTATCATTAGTGTCTTGTTGTAACAATTCTATGTATATATCTGTCTTATTTGACTTGAATTCTCCCAATTGGAACTTTTTGAATATATCATTCACTCTCTAAAATGATCACATCTATAAATATTTTTTTCAAATTTTTGGTACAAATAATTAAATAATAATACATGCATACATTTTTCGGTTGATATTGCATTGCCCATGGATTGTAAGCTGATCCACTTTGCAAAATTGCTCGCTGAAATAAACCTTTACATTGTTTGCAAAGTAATAGATAATGTATACTTGCAGCACCAGCTCCACTTCCAAACACTGTAATTTTTGTTTCATCTCCGCCAAATTTAGGTATTTCTTTTTTGATCCATTCGAGTGCAGCAATCTGCAATAGAAGCACAATAACTAAAAATAGCATAACAAAAATAAATAGAGAAATTACATTGCTCAATAATACTTATTGTATTTCACAGTCATTGAATTAAAATTTGCAAGTATACCGAAAATGGTAGGTCATTCATAGCTCTGTGTCTCTTCCTGTTAACTATTATTAATTTGCGCCTTTGCCAAAAACTAATCAGCACATCTCCCTATCAATGGGAATCGAATGTTTTTTGAACCATTCAAATCGGTTGAACCGTGCGCCCGAAAACGTGGACGAAAAATTGTATTCATACATACATACACACTCACACACACACACATCCATCTTTTCTGAGGTATGCCAAAATGTTCAGAAACCTTCAAAACGTCTAGAAATGTAAAAATTTTCAATTTCGATTTTCGGCCCATTACAATAACTTACCCCACGGGAAGTTAATAAAAGTTTAACTAACACTAAACACAGTGTTACTTCAGTTTTTATTTACCTTTCTATAATGAAAAAGCAATGGTCATAAATGGTCATTTAGTCATAATTAGTTACTATAATTATACAAGTTAAAAATTTAGACAAATAAATTCCACTCACCTGATCCTTTAAGCCCATATTGCCAGGTAGCTCTTTGTTTCCGAAACTTAAAAATCCAAATACACCGAGACGATAGTTTACGGTAACCACAATAACACCTTTGTGAACTAGATAATCTGGTTTTACATTTCCAGAACCTTTATCAAATTTACCATCATGAAACCATACCATCACTGGATATTTTGGATTTTGCAGTTTTGCATGTTTTTCTGATGTAGGTACGCTGGGTGTATAAATGCTTAGATATAAACAATCTTCATTTCCTAAAAATATTAACTAAGTCGAATTTACTGTTTTATTTATTATTGAATTGATTGATAGTATACGAATAAATACTGGCTAAAATAACATAAGCTTACCTACTGGAGAAGATGTAGATGTTGGCGCTTGCACACATATATTTGGGTCGTTTTTACTTCCATCACGATAGGTAAAGGGTCCAGGGCTCTTGGGACTCTATAATTATTGGCATGTTATTACTTGTTCTGTATTTAAATTAATCTATATATATATATATATATATATATATATATATGAGATATATATATATATATATATATATATATATATATATATATATATGAGTCGAGTCTGGATGCTCGGTATGGGCGTGTTTCTCGTCTCACAATTATGTATTTTATAACTTTTAGTCAAATTAGTTTCAAATCTTTTAGTTATTCATAATTTTTTCTAAAAAAATGTTTTTCTCTAATATGTTATTAAGTTTAATTTTTTAAAATAAATTTTTGTTGAGTGTTTTTGTCCTGTGTTGCTGAATGATGACACGCATCTTGTGTCGAAACGTATAAATAAAAGTATTTACACTTTATACCTTTTTTATTTCGACGAATGGGCTGCTAGTTACTTTGAAATATATATATATATATATATATATATATATATATTTATATCTGTGTGTAATTGGTAATTTAAGTAACGCCTATTTAAAATAAATTATTGAAAATCTCGTAATAACTATTCAAAAAATAATACCATAAAACGATTCTTCCCGGTTGGAGCTTGAGCATACGGAATTCCCAAAAAATAGTCATAGCTCTCACCAGCATCATTTTTATAAAAACTTCCTTGAACAGTACCTTGTGAAGTTTTAACTTGAAATATGTAATTGGCATACACTTCATAAAATGTACACACAAAAAATGTGAAAATCAACTTCATGTTACAGCTTAAGCATTTAATTTTTCTATCTATTCAAATGTAAATGTAAATTAGATGCGTTTTTTAAATAGTTAAAATTACCGAATAATAAATAATATAGTTGTTTATTTTGCAAATACTATATATAGTAATTTTTCCATTTGCATTACGAAATTTTTTTATAATTTTGCAATAAAAAAATTTTAAAGCACATTAACAAATAAATTAAGTAATGATAAAAAAATAAATAATTAACACATTTAGTAAACAATATTTTTTTCTTCAGCTTCGAATCATTAAATAGCTCTTGGAAATTTTTTATTTTTTTAATTAAATAGCATTAATAGAAAACTATATATTTTACTTAATAAAAAGATTTAGTGTAGCTTATTTTCATAAATAGATCAATAATTTTGCAAATCAGCAAAAAAATGTAAGATAATGTGTTCATTGTCATAAAATTAATTAAGTAATTAAATATTTTGAATAAATAGCCTTATATTGAAAGCTTACGATTAGTTATAAAGTAATAATTCATCTGATATTTATTTTTCTTTCAATACCAAGTTAACTAATTATAACACATATAAAAACATGTGATAATTATGAAAAAATAAAAAATCGAATGACAAGTTTCTAACAATTTTGGAGAAAGATACAAATGTAAATTTTATGTAGATAGTACAAACACGTTTTTACAAAATATTGTACAAAATTATACCTGACTTCGACACAATACTATTTTAACTAGTTCATAAACAAGTATACTCGATAAGTATTTGCACTATAAAAATGTATTTCTAATTGTCAAAAAATACAATTAAAAAAATATTTATTAATTTAATTGGAGTCGTATCGCAAATTTTTATTTTAAGCGAATTTCAATATAGATACATTTTTGTTAATTCTAGGTTTTGAATTTTGAATTATAAAACGCAAACATTTGATAGTTAAAATAATACCATAAATATCTAGTTGAACTATTAGTAATTAGACATATAAAATGTAATTAAAAGAACTGAGATGAAAATGATACAAGGTCGTGAAAAAATTAGATTTTTTTACTTCTAGTTCACTTTTTTATTTTGCTCCAATGCATTACAATACTGTTTTACTAGCAAAATAAATTATATAATTTATTAATTTATAAAATATATATATATATATATATATATATATATATATTGTGTGCAATAAATAAACATAAAAATAAATATTTGATTTATTTAAATAAACAATTACCAATGATAGTTCTATTAGAACTACAAGTAGTTATCTATCCGATTTTTTATTTTTTTTATTTTCGAGTCGTTCATTGACAGCCTCATAAACTTTTTCCCACTTTTTCAATCGTCCAAATTCGGACGCACTAAAATCATGCATTGAAAAATCATTAAGATCGAAATAATGTTGCTCATCATGAAAGTTTTTCCACAAATTATCGAAACCATCTACTTTGTACCACGCACTTGATGTAGTTGGATTTCTGAAAATAAAATAATCATAAACAAATAGGAGTGTTCTGTATAAATGTCTGACAAAAATCTCAAAATAAGATTGATATCGTAAACAGTAAATTTGCATTTTAGTATACTAAAAATTTGCCTAAATATAATACAACTAATAATATATCAATAATAATTACTCACTTATACTTTGCAAAATTAGTCCAAAGTTTAACTATTTTTTTATATTTCTCTTTATTCGAGTCTGCAATTTCATTACTATTAAATATGTATTTAACTTCGTCTCCATGATTAGCACCAGTAATTTTTTTACATTCATCGCACAATTTATTTTTTAATTTGCTATCGCTTATAGAAAATCTATATACATAAGTATTAAAACTGTCTCTTAAGTTAATCATTTTTTCTGCTGTTTTGTAAATTCCAAAAGTATACCAAGCATCACCCATCATTTTAACAAAATGTTCTTGATAGGTATCGTTCTGATCCAATTTATATTCATCAATCAAAGCTTCATTGATTGATTTACCTTCTACATTATTGTCTTTAGTATTAGAAACTTTTCTGGGTAAATATTTATCTAAATTGTTGTCATCCATCCAATTAGATTGAAGATTTTTCTCATAATTTAGCACTTCAATTCCTTCAGCATCATTAAATCCTAATATAATGGGACGCCACTTTACGGTGTTGGTTTTTAAATTATTCATTGCTTCATCAGTCGTTTTGTTAATTATTGCATCTCTGGAAGTATTCAGTTCTATAACTGGAGCAAAAACAGGATCAATTTGTTGCAGTTTATTATCAGAGGAGAGTACTTTCTCGGCAGCATAAAATATTTTGCTTGTGTCGAAACTTTTGAAATCGTAATTTTTTGATCGCACTTCTTCTTTTGGTTTACTTGGTTCATTTTGGCTTTTGGGATAAAGACCCAAATTAGTTAAGAATAATTTAGCATGCTGTGTAAAGTAAAATTTTTATTAACCCAGAATGATATTCACACTTATTTATATATTTACCTCAAAAACGTTATTCTGCAAAGCCCAAGGACTATATGCAGATCCACTCTGCATTATTGCTTTATTAAAATTATGTCTAGCTCCTCCATACATTAATAAATAATGTATACTTGCAGCACCAGCATCAGTACCAAATAATGTTATTGAATATTTGTCTCCCCCAAACTTGTCTATGTTTTCCAGAATCCAATCCAAAGCCATCATCTGAAAAATAAAGTTAAATAATGAAAGAAAGATGCGCATATTTCAACACATTTTATAAACAAATAAACTAACAATTGTATTGGCTTTTGTATCCTAATAAAACATTATGACCAATTTCTGAATTAATTACTACCTGATCTTTAAGGCCCATGTTTCCTGGAATTTCTCCACTTTGCAAGCTCAGGAATCCAAAAACACCCAATCGATAGTTAATTGATACCACAATGACTTGTTCATGCTCCAAATCACTTGGATCTATATTTCCAGAACCGGAATTAAATTTTCCACCATGTATCCATACCATTACTGGATATCCTAGATTTTCACGTTTTAAACTTGGAGTGTAAATATTTAAATACAAACAGTCTTCGGTACCTTAAAAGAAATTTATAATGAAATTTGATTTTAAACAAAAACTTATGATAAAATTTGGTTCCATTACAGGTAAACCTTATTGGGTTACAGAAAACATTTATTTTTAGTGCAAATATATGTAAATAATCAACAATAATAATTGCAAACAAAATAAATAAATTACCTGTGTAACTACCAGAAGAACTTTTCTGAACGCAAACAGTGTTTCCACTTTTCATTTGTTTAAAATTTGTTTTATCATCTAAAGCTTGAGGTGACTGCAAAACATGAATAAAATAGCAATAAGGTTTCATTAATAATCATGATAACTTTTTATATTTTTTTAATATTATAATATAGTTAACTTTACCTTAAAACGTAAATCACCAGTCGGAGGTTTAGCATAAGGAACTCCAAGAAATTTAATATACTTTATACCATTTTGATTATATTCTGTTCCTTCAAGCTTACCATTTTTTGTATCGACATCATGTTTAGAACATTTTGCAACATTTATATAATGTAAGATAATGATTAGTATCACTAAAACTTCTAAATTTCCAAACATGATTTAGGATATACTTTTGTAATATCTTTTCAAGCACTCTCTTAATTATATTTGATAATTAGATATGCGTTTCTGAACTTGAATGAATAAATATTTTGCAATATTTACAAAATTTATATTCAAAAATGGAGTAAACAATAAATTGCACCCAAGAGCATGCAACAAAATATTCTTTCTTAGATGCAAGACATGAATCTCCAAATAATTACTCTAAAATAGTACTAATATATTATGATAGTTTTAAATGACTTCAAAATAAATCTAGGATACACGTCGTTTGATACTGTTCTTTAGTACAGTAATGATAGTACAAAAAAACGCTAAGAAAAGGCTTTTAATTTATTGATTAAAACTTATAAAAATCGTGGACAATCCATAAAAAATAATTTTAATGTATCGATTAAAACTTACAAAATGCTGAACTAAATAGTACATAATTAATTAATTAATTTATCTGCATAAAAACTGAAAAATAATAGAAAGATGGTAATTTGAGAAAAATATGTAAGTTATTCTTATACATTCACTTAGTCTTAGACTAAGTGGTAAAAGAAGTTATAAGTAATTGCTCCCTTATTAATTTGAACTACCAACTTTCTTGCCAGACTTTTAGACTTCTTAGTCAACCAATTTTATACTTTATTTAGTAATATCATGAAATACTAATTAGTAGCCTTATTTTGAAAAAATCATTATATTAAAAGTAGATATTTGTGTTTCATTTCCCAAACATTGTTATAGTCTGATTTATATGAAAATGAATCATATACCATGACGCTAATAAGTGAGCTTCCGTTTTGAAGATGATAAATATTTAGTACATTGATATTCATTTTTCGGTCTGCACAAATATTTTGAATAGAATATTTGATCAGAAACATCTTATTTATCTCAATTATCTTCATCCAATAATGAGTAATTTTTCAATTAGTTTTTTGGTACATCGGCATAGTTAGGTATTCACACAGGTAAGATACACAGGTACTTTTTTGAATTCAGAATCAGAAGCAACAAAGTTATTGAATTATTTTTCATATTCAAATAAGAGAGATGCAAGGGATTTTGTAAATTTCCCATAAGTTCCAATAATCAAATTTGTTTCGTATATTTTTCGAAATTATATCATTCATGACTAACTAAACAAATAATCAGTAAACTATGACAGAAAGTTCACCATCATTGGCGCAAATGATAACCGCATTGTAAAATTTATCGCAAAACATGGAATTATAGTTTGAAAGTTTCAATAGAGAACAAACAAATTTAATCAAAGTAGCGTAATATGTAAAGTGAAACATTTCAGTGCTAAAATGAGTGTTTTGAAAATGAACAAATTAATATTATTATTGTGGGTATATTTAGTTGTTAGTTGTGAGTGCTACAAAACTGTTACGGATGAGAGTCAGTGTCCTAAAGTCAGTATAATTATTATTTAAAAAAATCTTAAATATTGAATAAATTAAGTTAGAGTTTATTATGGAGTAATCCACCGTTTCATAATTTATGATCATCATTCTTTAAATATATGTAACCTGATTTAAACTTCTCATAGAGTATACATAGAGTATCATTTCCAGTACACAATTGTATTAGAATGATGATGAAAATTATATTTATCATATAAAAAATTATAATAAAAATTAGAATATCTCGGAAAATAAATAAAAAAAATTACAAAATAAAAAAGTGATACATTGTTCACAAGTGCATATCGCATCTTCTATGAATATTTCCCTTATGTAAATATTTGCCATAACTTAAATTGCAACTAAAATCATTGCGCAAATAAATTATTATAAATATTTACTATTTTTACATTTTATAAGATTTTCATTATGTAAATATTGACAATTAATTCTACTATTCATTTATAGGTTCGAGCTGCCAGAAATTTTGATATTACAGGAATTGTTGGACAATGGTATGTTGTCCAATATTATGCATCTTCTGAAGAATTACCATTGTACAGTTGTATGAGAGCAGTTTTTATGCAAAATGCATTAGAAGTAAGTTTCAGACATAAGTGTAAAAATAAGTTTATCAAATTATATGAAAAATAGTCTTTCATCAATCCTACTGGTTTGTGGAAGTCTTAAAGTAAAGTGAAGTTTAGAGTAAAGTCAAGTATTAAATTAAAGTCAAGTTTTGAAGTAAAGTCAAGTATTTAGGTAGAGTCTAGTATTAACTTCTAATATTTTTTAATTCTTTAGATCATTGTTGTGATTTTTTTCCAAGGAACATGAAACAGTTCGTAGATTAAAATGGAAAAGATTATAAAAATTCCATATAAGTTGAGTTCGCACATTTTCTCTGCTGAAATATGTCTTAAAACTTAAAACCTAAACTTTAATATTGCCTATGAGTCTGAAATAGCTCTAAAATAAAATAATGCAGAAGTTATCTATTCAAATTAATAAAAAAGTAATAATATATATCGATGAAATCACAAGTTTACAGTACTACTGCAATCCACGTTAAACCAAATACAATAATGTTCTTTGCATCCAAAAATAAAGTTTAAATTTTAAAGAATGCGAAGTAACATTAATATAAGGCATTATTGGTCTTAAGATTTTAAATCTTATTAAAACATGAAATTATTTACAGGTTGATATGAATTTCACATACATGTTTGCCGATGATCCTCTTTTTGAACAATTGGAAGGAAATATAACATGGACCATTCCAAATCCAGACACCATGGCACATTGGGTACATAAGGAAGACACTTGTAAGATATTTTAATAAATAATAAAAATGAATAAAAAATTAAGTTAAATTTGGAACTGAGATTAAACTAGACAAATCTTGGCAAAATATTGATGAGTAATAAAATAATATAATAAAAATCACGTCTTGTGTTGGGCGTTCATATGGAGAATTGAGTGAAAAAAGGTTTGGATGAATTTTTTGTGTCAAAACTATTTTTTAAATTAGACAATATATTATATTAACTTCATCAAGGCGATTTTTGCCAGATAACCAATTTGATGATTTTATGTTTTGACATAACATTACATTTTAAGTCATTCTGAATCGTTTGACAATAACACTTCAAAAATGTTTAAAATCATATTTTTGTGAATTTGCGTAGTAACTAGAACATAAAATACCTTCCACAGATTTTTTTTGAATAAACTCGATATAAGGCTTATATGATGTCTACAAATTTTAGTACAGTTTTATATAAATCTAATTTTGTTATTTTTTAGAAAATATTTGTTATTTATAAATTGTTATTTAAGATGAAGGAGTATACAATACATATGTACTGGACTCTGATTACAAGGATTGGACTTTGCTGATGCATTGTGCAGAAAAAGAAGAAAGTACCAGATATTTATCAGCACTTTTGCTATCCAGAAAACAAGATTTAACGATTAATGTCATTTCTTACCTCAGGTAAAACATATTCATATAAAACTTCTTTAAAATATTTTTAAACGCAAACGAATAATATCTTCATAGAAGGTATATAATAGATATTTTTACCTACAAAATTTTTGAACAAAATATGACAATAATACTGAACTTAATGATAATACGATAAATGGAATAATTGCTAATTAAATGTGATGTTTAAGTGACAAAAAATTGAGTTAAAGCAATTATTGTACTATTAGAAACTAATTGGATTTTTCTCGATCTAATTGCAAAAACTGAAAATAAAAAATTAGTTTAAAGTTTATGACAATAGAAGATGTAAACTAGATAAATCAAGCTAATCTAACGACTTTATATAAACTAAATATAAAATAATCAAGATAGTTTATCACAAAAAATACTCCTAGTACGCCGAGAACAAAAAATACTTTGACAATTATAATACAACCTAAGAATTAGGAATATTTTATAACGGACTTTAGGTAGAAATTAAATATTTAAGAAAGTGCATAATAATGAATAAATAAAATGACATCAATTATAGCAATAGATAACTCTCTTGTCTAAGATTTCAAGTTGGTGTCTTAATTATTTAAGTTTGAATATTATTATGCTGATGATGATTTTTGTAAAATATTTATTTACCACATCAAGCCCTTAGAAGATGTTCTCTAAATAAGTAAGTCAATCAAACAAAAAATTTGAACAAACTTATTTATATATATATTTCTTTTATTCTCAGGGACAAATTACCAAAATACGGCATAGACACTGAATATCTGTTCCCAATGGACCAGAAAAATTGCAAACCAGGAATACCAAGAACTTTGGATCCATTTGCAAGAAAATTAATAATTCCAGGCAATGACAATGTTCCCTCCAATGGTGGAGGCAAAAAGAAACATCCATTACAAAGGCATCATAAGAAACGGAGACAGGAAAGATCTGAATATTATTGAAAAAATTAAACAAAATACTTACTATTGAACTATTATACATACTAGTCTAGAGAATAATTTATCAATATTACTTTTCTTTAGGAGATGTTAAGATAATACTCAAAAAACTTTTATACTAATGAAACAAAATAAATTCTTGTTACTCAATACTCAAAATATTACACACTGCCAGAAATATTGATGAAATAAAAAAAATATTTTACAAAATTATTTTTATACTAAAAATGTATCATACATATGTCGTACTCTGATTTAACACGTTAGTCAAATAATTCAAATGTTTAATGACGATACTAAAATTTCTGAACTAAATGCATTTAGCATAATTCCTAATACATAACACAATAGTTAGATTTGTCTTAGTCATTTATTACAATCATTATACTTTCAATTAACAGAATCAATAATGATTTAATTAATAATTTTCAACGATTATATTATACGATAATCGTTGATATGAATTATATAATGGGAAATTTGAGCCGAGTTCCTCGAGATCCAAACACATTTAGTAATCAACAAATACGAATTTTGATAACAAATATTATGTGAATGACTACAACAATGCATTGTTGACATTCGATCGTTTTTATTCAAACCGATACTAAACATGTGACTCTAAAACTTTATGGAAATTTTTTATTTTAAATTGACCCTCTTCAGATCACATTCCAAATTTTTCGATATTTTACCAAATATTTTTTTGTGAGATACTGCAGAAATCATTATTTTACTAGTTGGTATTGGTATTTTGCCTTGAGGCAAGTTACATGAACTTCCCGATATGTGTTAATAATCGACTTAATCAACACAAAATTAATTAATTTGTGAGAGATTGAAAGTATTCCGAGTGAATTTAATGCACATAATTGAAAACGAACGAACACGTTAACTCGGAGTATTTTCTAAAAGCAAATTTTCAAAAATCAACAATTTTTATAATTGAACCAGTTTCCGTAGGACTTTAAGTATGTTCATTAAGATCAAGTACTCTATCGTTATACCAAGTAAATCGTCTAATTTGAATTTCAACAAACGTCAAAAGAACAACTCATTTTCTCAAACTTTGATAAATTTTTAAAATTAAACTACTTGTCTTAAAGCCGTAATATGTCAGTAAGTTCTATAAGACCATGATATATATCGCCACAAGAAGTTGCATGAAAATAAAAAAAAAAAACGATCGGTAGATTTTCACCTAAAACTAATCAGTATCATTCCCAACTAATATCTTCCAAACAGTTTTTGAATTTTTAAAATCGATTCGGTAGTATGAGCTTAAATGTGTTCGAAAAGTTTAACACTTTTTTTTCAAAATACAAAGTAACGGCTCGGCAGATCGTCGCACAACGATAGTCCTTATTGAGATACATCAAATGGCTTTTAAATTTCTGAAATCTGTTCAGGCGTTTTTGAGCAAACGTCGATGAAAGGTCTAATTTGACAAATGCCAAAGAAGCAATATTAATTTTTGCAAACTTTGACAAATTTTTATAGTTAAACAAGTTGTCGTAGGACCGTAATATTTTTGCATGATGTAAAATACTATGGTATCTACGGTTGAAAAAAATCATCGAGATATATCGAATGGCTTTTAAAATTTTGAAATCGGTCCAGCCGTTTTTGAGAAAATGTCAATTTACGGCAAAAAATATGTTCACACACACACATACTTTTTCTAAACTTGGTCTTATTCGATTCAGAATGGCTGAAACTTCGAGAAAACATGAAATTAAGCGTATCGATTTTTTTAATGAAAAAAAAGTTTTCCTTAGGGAAGTTTTTTAAAAAAAAAACAGTTCTGATAATTTCGAAGTATTCATTACAAAAATTTGCAAATTTTGGGATTAGAATGAACAAAATACTTAAATTATTTAAAGAATTTAAATATGTGAGGTACATCATGGTAAACATCGAATAAAAAGTGATTGTAAATACATAATTTCTCACTTATTTATTATGCAAAATTCATCATGAAAGTATATACAAAATGCATATACACCATAGTATCCCATAAAGCAAAGTTTTTTTCGTTCAATGAAGAAAATGTGGATCTAAAATAAGAGCTTTTACACTTTGACAAACCGAAACATATTAGATAAATTTTATTGACCTGACAAAACTTCATTTCCCAATATAAAAATGACATTAACCAAAGCATTTCTAATCACAATTTATTCTTACAAAAAATTAAATTCATAATAAATTTTCAATAGATTAGGAACCTTTTGCTGTTTGTGTGAAGATTTCGACCGATGTATATATACAGGCGAAAAATACAGTCAAAGGCGTTTTGTCAACAGCAATTCAGACATTGCACAATTGGTCATTGTGGTCTTCATGTAATAAATTAGTGAAAATCAAGTGATAGTGATCAATTATATAACAGAAATGTAAGTAGAATAGTAATAATCGAATGAACCAACTTAATCATAAATATTTTGTAAATGATTGTTGATAGAAAACTTCTGGATTTTTAGAAGTACTTGATATATTTAATAAGATGCAAAGACTAGGTGCAGTGTAAATTAATATTAAAATGAATGTGAAACATTTTTGGCCACCTGCAAGTCTATTAAATATTTTTACAGACCTTAAGCAATACAATACTCACACTTGAGTATTTTTTTTTTAAGTATCTTAAATTTCTTTCTAGATCACTCAAATTTTGAAAGTATGAAAATTTAATTTGAATTTAAGGTACTGAAACAACTTTTTAATAAATTAAATTGATTATGCAATATGTATTGAAATTTATCATCTTGGTCAATTTATTACAATTAACCAAGTTGCTTATTCAATATCTCACATACAAAACTGTGAGTGTAAAATATTTTTCATATAACTAGTTTATTAATATTCGATATTTACATTACCATTAAAATAATTTTAAATATATTAAGAGACTAATTTGTTAAATATTTAATTACAACATAAATTAAGTCAGACATATGCAGTGAATCACGTTGACAAAAAGCGTCTTTCAGGAGCTATAAAGTTTCCACAATCGAAGCCTCTTCTTCATGATCGTGTTTGGAAACTACATTTTCTTCATTTTCAGTATTTTCATGATCAATATTTTCTTCGACATTTTCTTGATGTTCAGTTTCTTCCTGGTCTTCAACTTTGTCACAAGATTCCTCCTGGACTTGTTCTACTGGTTCAATAACTTCAGCGATTTCAGGTTCATCCAAGAGTTGAGAATCTTCAATTGATCTTTTGGTTTTCTTGTTTTTCTTGGATTTTTTGTCCTGAACAGTTGCTTCAACATTTTCAGATTTGGAGTATTTGTTTTTCTTTTGTTTTTTGGTAACTTGAGCTTCTTCGTTTGTTGCAACAGTTTCCTCAGTTTTCTTGTTTTTCTTTCCTGATTTTACTTTTTGAGCCTTCTCAGATTTGCCATTTTGGGCATCAGCTGGTTGTTTCACTTTTTGTACTTTTTCCTTTGGCAGTTTTTTCAATTCTTGAGTAGCTGCTTCGACAGCCTTTTTATGCTTTTTGTTTGGTACTTCTTGCTTGGCAGCATTTTTAGAACATCCTTCAGGGTTTGTGCACTTGCGTTTAGATTTGCCTGATTTTGGAGATTCTTCGATAACTTTGGATGAATCCTTGAATAAAGGTAATTTTGAGACGCAACAAATAATTATATTTCAAAATTTAAAACAAAATCAATAATTTGAAAAATGCTTATAATAAAGAATTAATTTTTTTTAATCTGCTTACTTTTTCTAGTAAGCCGTTAACCCTTTGCACTGCGTAGGCGCCGCTGTGGCGCATACGGTGCTACAGCGGCGCCTTAGAGTGCAAAGGGTTAAAATTACTTATTTTTCAAACTCACTGTTTGCTTAACCTCACGCTTGTCCTTTTTGCCTTCGAATCCCTTTTGAGTGTCCTGTAAATATTTTTCCTTGTGATGTTTCACTGCTTTGTCGACTTTTTCTGCAGATTTAATGTCCTTGGATTTTTTATCGGATTTGGCTTTTTTGGCATCTGCAAAATCACCAAAGATCGCCAAGCACATCAGGGCGATGCAAATGAACCACATCAACCTAGGAAAAAATAATGAAAAATTAATTAAAAATTATTATTTATTAGTTTCAAAACATTATCATGTATGAAATTTAATCCAACCTCTTCTGCAATAACGTACTGAGTTGGTGATTGAAGTTTAAATCAATATTATTGAAATAACAATACTAAACATAATTTATGTTTGGTGTAAGAAAATTTAGTGGAGATTAAAATAAAAATCAAATACAAAATTAACGTAGGATATCAATTAAATGTTATAGTCAATAGAAGTAACTATAAACACAAAATTACTCCTAGAACATGCAGAATAAATGTCATTACTGTTCATAAAATAAGGTACAATAATATTACAAGTTACTTCAAATTTAATGGCATATTCATACTTCATAATAAAATTTGTATCTAAAAATAATTTGTATCTATGAATATTTCAAAATAATATTTCATGATTCCAACTGATATGAATAGTGAATTTGTAAACAAAAACAAGTTTTCTGATAACGCAGGTAGAACCCAATTCTATTTACGTAAGATGGTGCCACAAAACTAAATCACAAGTAAATGATAAAACAAAGTTTTTGAAGATTGATAAGATAAAAATAAAAAATAATCAAGATGTCTATTTACTATATGAAATATGCGTAGTAAAATTGAATTCGCTTTTTTAAACAAAATGCCTAGTATGTAGAATTTTTAATGAGATTAATTAGTTGATTAAAAATAAATTTTGCTTATCTACATATCAGTGTTAATTGCACATGGTTTTTAAATTAAACGATTGCTTGCATAAATTATGACGTGCATAAATGATTATAAAATTAGTTGCCGAATTAGATTTCACTAATTTGAACTGTAAAAATATACGAATATAAATATATTTATGAAAATATTGAAGATCAAAATCATGAAAAATGTTTTTTTTTAATTTCAATAATTATTACAACTGTTAAATTATTAACATCAAGTAG